TACACCAATCACTAAAATCATTTCAGCCCTAGAATTGCCGATCTCTACTGAACAAAAGCAACGTAAAAGGAGCTGCTAACTTGAAAGCTACAGCTGCATGACATCACGAGGTGGAACAGAGTGTTTTGAGCACTGGAGATGTAGATAGACTAATAATAAAAGGTTACTCAACATGTGTGAATGAAACAAAACACAACTCAATGTTAATGAGGAGTTAACAGCATTATAACATGGCTTAGAGCTCACAAGAGTCAATTTTGTGTAATAAATTTTAAAAAAAAGCTAATTTAAATGGTAATAATCCTTAATCTTTGACATAGAAAAATAACTAAAAAGCCACTCATAGCTCCCGTGTTGATAATTTGAACCCTAGAAGACAGTAGACACAGACGATACGACTCCAGTCTTGTCCAAACACAGAGAGAGTGACCCCAGCTCTGTCTGCAGCTCTGTGGGGAGGTTTGTTGTGGCGTGCCCCTGCCATGCGGCCATCATCGTCACTGTCACCCGCACAAAGCCCACATGGGACAGAAACCGCCCATCCCTCCACACTAAAGACAAACAGACAGCTCGCCCCCACTCCGGACCAGACCCAGCCTATTTACAAAGGATGTGCTCTTAACAGCAAGACATGTTACATTTCAGTTTCTTCACCATAAAAAAATGAAGAATGATAATCTGTATTTAAGTGTTTATAATGGAGTTCATTGTGTAGATGTGATTAAGACTGTTTGGCATTTCTGCTTAATTCAAGTTAATTTAAAAAAAAAAAAAAAAATCATAGGTCTGAAATTTTCATGCCACATTGGAATTTAGGACTTGGTTTAGTCTTGGTTTGAGCCATTTAGTCTTGGTTCAGTCCTGGTTTAGTCAGGGTTTAGTGTTGGTTTAGTCCAGGTTTAGTACTGATTTGGTCTTGGTCTAGTCCTGGTTTAGTTTTGGTTAGACTTGGTTTAGTCCTGGTTTAGTTTTGGTTTAGTCCTGGTTTAGTGTTGGTTTGGTCCTGGGCTAGTCCTGTTTTAGTCTTGATTTGGTCCTGGTCTAGTCCTGGTTTAGTGTTGGTTTAGTTGTGGTCTAGTCCTGCTTTAGTCTTGGTTTGGTGCTGGTCTAGGTATGGTTTAGTTTTGGTTGAGTTCTGGTCTAGTTCTGGTTTAGTCCTGGTTTAGTACTGGTTTGGTCTTGGTCTAGTCCTGGTTTAGTTTTGGTTAGACTTGGTTAAGTCCTGGTTTAGTGTTGGTTTAGTCCTGGGCTAGTCCTGGTTTAGTGTTGGTTTAGTTGTGGTCTAGTCCCGCTTTAGTCTTGGTTTGGTGCTGGTCTAGGTCTGGTTTAGTTTTGGTTGAGTTCTGGTCTAGTTCTGGTTTGGTCTTGGTCTAGTCCTGGTTTAGTTTTGCTTAGACTTGGTTTAGTCCTGGTTTAGTTTTTGTTAGACTTGGTTTAGTCCTGGTTTAGTTTTGGTTTAGTTCTGGTCTAATCGTGGTTTAGTCCTGGTTTAGTTCTGGTCTACTCCTGGTTTAGTCCTGGTTTGGTCCTGCTTAAGTCCTGGTTTAGTCTTGGTTTAGTTCTGGTTCAGTCCTGGGTTAGTTTTGGTTTAGTTCTAGTCTAGTTCTGGTTTAGTCCTTGTTTAGTCCTAGTTTAGTCCTGGTTTGGTCCTAGTTTAGTCTCACTGAATCTACCAGTGTATAATGGAACAAGTCAAACAATAAGACTACATCTAGTTGGTAAATAATATAAACTAGTGAAACTGCTCAAAGTAAAATCATTGTAAAGTAATTATTTCATTTTTGCAGTGTGGTACTCAGGTCCACGCTCTACTGTAAGATACAGCTGTTTAAGAGTGAAATTGAGATGAAACTTTTTTCCTTCAGATGGTTAAGATAAGTGGATACGCTACATGCTGATAATAAAACTGTTCCTTTTCCAAAGATGCCACGATCTAAAAAAAAAAGTGTGTGTAGCATTATAGTTGTGCTGTAATAGGAGTCATTATAGACACATTATCCGGTTGAGTGTGCGTCTGCTGCTGGTGCCGTGCATGGTGAAATGGGCCATTCTGATCCTCATTAACATAGCTAATTTCACACGAGACAAAGTTGATAAGGGATGTCAGAAGCAGTCAAGGTTCAGTCATCCAAGAGCCGCCATTATATACAGAGACTTTACAAGAGAAGAGGCTGTATTTTTGCGTTTACATGGGCAAGTTAAAGGTCTTATATCACACAAAATTGATTATTGTGAGCTTTAAGCCATGTTATAATGTAGTTACCTCCTGAAAAACATACTCAGAGTTGTATTTTGTTTTATTGAGACGTGTTTGAGTAATAATTTATGACTAGTCTCTCCACAACTTCAAAGCTTAAAATGCTCTGCTCTGTTCTGCTCTGCGGTAGTTTTCAAATTAACAACTGCCTTTTACGTTTAGTTCAGGAGAGATTATTTATCACTATTATTAGTGTTTTCTGTTTGAGAGAAGAACTCGATATGCCTAAAAATGCAAGGTTTGTGTGTTAAACATGTGAGAATGAAACAAAACACAGTTCCAGGTATGTTTGTGATGAGGAAACAATTATCACATAGATCAGAAAATAGCATATCCATCATCTCCATGGTTTGCATCGGTACATTTAAAGGTAATTCAAGTAGCTGAAGTAAAACATTATTTCAGTATGCAAATGCCATTACAACAATTTGACCAAAACATGCTCTCAAATCTGCATCTCTTTGTTACACCTACTTCAGTCCACAAGTGCTTGGGATGCTGGTCACACAAGTGCGCAATGTGTTAATTAACTGCTGAATTACAATGAAGAAATGTCATTGCTTGTTTGTGAACAGGGCTGTATTAGCTAAAGGAATTATTGGTCGACTAAAGACATTATTTCTCCAAACTCTATGAGCTGACCCATAATTGCATATAGTAGACACATTAACAACTACACAAGAACTAGTAAACAGTTTTTTTCATGTGTAAAAAAGCAAGAATCAAATCACAATTTACCCTCAAAAATGAATCTGATCAAGCTAATTACAATACCTGCATAAAGCAAATTGCATATTTTGTTTTTACTCATCACAAAATAATTACTACACTTTTGACATATAATACATTGCAGTCTTTTTGTTGAAAGATCCTATTATGCAAAGTTGACTCTTGTGAGCTTTTGGCTGTGTTATAATGTTGTTATCTCATCAAAAACATGCCTGGAGTTGTGTTTTGTTTCATTCACACATGTTTGAGTAACTCTTTATCACTAGTCTGTCTATATCTCCAAAGGTCAAAATGCTCTGTTCAAACTTGCGATGTCATGTACTGGTTTAACATTGTTTTTCAGTAGAGAATGGCAATTTCAGAGCTGGAATTATCCAAAAGGTTTTAGTGAAGCTGTATGGAGTTAAAAAACACAGTGGAGCACTTCCTGTTTTACCACATAGCATAGAATTTTTTTTCAGTTTGAGAGAAAAACTCAGCCTAAATATGCAGGGTTTGTGTGTTAAATGTGTGTGAATGAAACAAACACAACTCCAGGTAGGTTTTGATGAGAAAACAACATTATAATAGATTAGAAAATAGCATAACATGGGCGATTTAAAGAAGCAACAAGAGACGCCTCAATACAAAAATGTTGTCATCAAAGAAAGAAGGCACTGGTGTGATGTTATAACAAGGACATCGCAGCAGTCATGACCTTTAAAGGAGACAATTAACTGAACACTACAATCTTCTTTTTGTTGGTGTAAACCTCACGTATAACTGCTGCAACACACAGTTACTCCAGGGATGTTTAGCAATGGGTGTGTGCTGTTTTAAGAAGTGTCAATCATTTCATTACATGTTAAGATCCAGATGTTTTTTTTTTTTTACATAAATAGCTTCAAGTTTTGACACATACTGTACCAAAAGCAAAAGAATTATAATAGTTAACTACTGGACTTTCTAGAGTTGTCACAGCTTATCTCCAGTGTTCTGACAATTCAATTATCCATTTGACACAACTGTTTTTCTGGGCTTAGAACTGGCACAATCATTTTGACTCTTGACTCAATATCATCCCATATTAGTTGTGTTAAATGTAGGCTACATATGAGTTCATCTTATATGTGCATTTCTGGTCCACCACCTGGTTGTCATGGAGATGTGTTATTATTATTATTATTATTATTATTATTATTATTATTATTATTATTATTATTATTATTAGTGTTCAACAGTGTTACAGCAAACAGTTAACACAAACAAGCTTAACATTACACCATCACCAACAATGTAATACAATTAAATCATGAAAAATAGTTCAGAATGGAGACTGGCTCATAGCAAAGCAAGGTCACACAGTTAAAATAAGAGAAGGTTCATTTGTCCCACAATTGGGAAATTTCAGGGTTGCAACGCAAGTTCATGAACAGCAAGAGAATAGGAATGTAATCAAAATCAAGATAAACAGCTCTTAACAATATTTTCCAAAGCAATCATATTGACAGGTAGAGTATATTTAAAGGGCCTATATTACTCTGTTTTCTGTTTTAATGTTGTTTCCTCACGAAAAACAAACCTGAAGTTGTGTTTTGCTTCATTCACCATGTTTAACACACACATCCACATATGTAGGCTGTGTTTTTCTCTCAGTTGGAAAAAAAACTCTGCTCCAGGAAGTGCTCCACTGTGTTTTTAAACTCCATACACCTTCACTAGAATGATTTGGATCATTTCAGACCTGGAATTGCTGATCTCTCTCAAACTAAAGGTAAAAGGAAGCTGTTAACTTGAAAACTACTGCTTCATGACATCACAAGGTGGAACAGAGCATTTTGAGATTTGGAGAGGTAAACAGGATTAGTCAAACCTGTGGCAATGGAACAAAACACAAATCCAGGTATCTTTTTGATGAGGTAACAACATTATCACATGGTTTAAAGCCCACGGGAGTCAATTTTGTGTAATATAGGACCTTTAAAAATAAACGTGGCACTTACTGACACGCATAGTACACAAGGACAGTACTCACTCGGCGACCCTGGTGCGCGCAGTGATGCTGGCTACGATCACGCTCTCCAGTCGCGGGGTGGCCACAGCCTTGAACGTCCCTTTCCAAAACTTTTCAAAGAGCTGCTTCTCCCGCACCAGACCCGACGATCCGAAAAGCGAAGGCACCGTAAGCGAACACGCGGGCTCCATCTGTGCCAAAGCTGCTATTGTACCTGCTTTCTTCTGTCTACAGTCCACTCACTCTCGCATTGGAGAGGCAGGAGCTATCCAAGTACTGAATTCAGAGAGTGCAGAGAGTCTTGTTCCGATTGGCAGCAGCAGCAGGTTGTCAGAGCGGTTAGTCCACGCACAAAAGCCGACCCCCCTTTCCTCTCCAATGGGGTCTCAGCATTGTCCCGTGGGGTGAAAAAGAGGGGGGCATCGGCATGTTTTGTTCGGTGACATCTGCTACTTTTTAGAGGGTTCACCGAGTTGAAATCTGGTTGAAAATGTGCGCAAGTGAAATCGATAGTGGATGTTGTAGTTGTGAGAATTGGATCGGCGTGGCGTGGAGATGCGTGATGCAGAGCGCGCGTGTACGGAGAGAGGGAGAGAGGGTGGCAGCGAGCGGAGTGAGGAGCCGCGCTGAGGGACGCTTGTTTTGTGTCTGCGTTAGTGACGTAAAGAGAGGAGGGGCTGGGCGCACGCGAGAGGGACACTTCTGTCATCAGCAGTGCGCGCCTGGTCCTCTGTGATGCGCCACAAGTGTAAGAGATGCTGACACAGTGTAAAGGCATGCAGCGCCCATGGAAGGATGTGGGCAGTGACATTTAAAGGTGCACTGTGTAACTTTTCTTGTGGAGGGTCCGCCACCCGGTTGTTTCCATGGAGATATTACTGTTTTGCCTTGATTATTCAAATTATTCCACAATATGAAAATCAATTTGGTAATCACAGTGGAGTAGGTTATTAGTATTTAGAATGTTTTTTTGTTTGTTTTTTTCAGTTTATTAAGGACATCACAATCGCATCATTATACAAACCAGCTAGTTTTCACCTAGTGCCTCCACTCAGTTTCATTTCTCTCCAGCAACTAGGTCAGGAATCAGAATACACTAGACGGTTTGCAAGAACGTCGGAAGTTTAGACTGTGCAACAGCCAATCAGCGAAGAGCTGTGAAGCCATGACGTCAAACTCAAACGCCTGTCTGGATCCCTTTTGTGGTACAGCACAACAGTAAACAAAGCGGTTGAGATGGATGTAGATGAAGTCATACATTCTGTGTTAGCAACAATTCCAGAGATCAAGGATTTAAAGCCAGAACAAAGAGAATGTTTTATTAAGGGGAAAGGCATTATTGTCTGTCTTCCTACGGGATTTGGGAAAAGCTTAATATACATGTTATCCCCGTTAGTGGCGCATTACACACATCACGACCAAATAGCAGCGACTGGTTAAATAAAAAAAAGTACGTCTACTATCGAGCGAACGAATCCTTATGCTGCGAGGTCAGACAGTTTCCATGAAGTGAAACCGGCTGATGAATCAAGCTAAGTTTTTAACACCTGTCCATATAAAAAATGCATGCATAAAAACAGTCAAGACACATAATTTACATAAAGATAAGATATATACAGTAGATTGGTGAGTGCATTTTGGTGGAAATATACAATAATTTTAATTTATGTTTAAATTTGTTACTATTAGTTTCCAATTTTAATTTATTAATTTAATTTATTTCCCTTTGTCAGAGAAGGAGGACTGGGGACAGTGGGACAACATGATTACCACTAGCAGCATCTCTTGTATTTGCTCTGTGTGCACATGTTATGGTCCTGGCAAATTCTGAATTCAGAGGTACATCAGTCAAGTCAAGAGTCAAGACACTTAACATAACTGAAGATTATTAAAACTGGTAAAAATGTTCAAAGTTAAATAGGTTATGTTTAAAATTTCACAGTGGTGCCAGTGTCTGGGCTTTTTGTCAAGAACCTTAAGGGTCATCTTGTATATTGAACAAAGCAGTTTGAATGTGGTTGAGCAGGCCTGCAATTGTTGAGCTGTAAAACACCTGAAGTTTAACAAATGTGTGAGACATATATTTAACACCATATTGCGAAAAATACCAGAAAAAGACAAGCAGAGACAAGCGAGTAGCAGACCCTCCACCTTACACAAGTTACACAGTGCACCATACATTATAACAAGATAATACAACTTAACTAGACTGAAGAAAGCCTGAAGAAAGACAAAATGAACAGACAGATTATTAAGAAGATTCAAGTTTAACTTAAAGGTACTATACTATGCAAAATTGACTCTTGTGAGTATTAAGCCATGTTGGAGTGTTGTTTCCTCATCAAAAACATACCCAAAGTTATGTTTTCATTTGCACATGTTAGAGTAATCCAAGTTAGCAGCTATCTTTTACGTTTACTTTAGTAGAGACTGGAAATTTCAGGGCTGAACTTATCCAAATGATTCTAGTGAAGGTCTATGGGGTTTAAAAACACAGTGGAGCATTTCCTGTATTTCCACGACATCACTAAATATGCACCGTTACTGTGTTAATAATACATGAATAAAACAAAACACAACTCCATGTATGTTTGATGAGGAGTCATTATAACATACTAGATCAGAAAACTGCAGAATTAAGATTCTCTTCATGCTTTATTAAGACAGTAAATGTTGTAGGCTAAATTAAGTGTTACCAAATATTGCATTAAAGAAAGACACAGGCACACTCATTTGGTTTGTTCATTCTCCCCATGAATGTGGCATGATCTGCTTGTTTTTATTGAAAAATGGTCACATTTTTCTATAGCACTTTTCCACCTTCAAGGCACTCAAAGCACTTACAACAAGGAACCACTCACCCATACACACACCAGTGTACGCAGACACTGTGTCTTGCCCAAGGACACAACGGCAGCATTCATCTGTGGGAGCTGGAATCACACCAGCCAACCTGTGAGTCAGTGGATCTGACTCTGGATCTGTTTATGTCGAGAGCTGGATTCGAACCACCAACCTTCAGATTAGTGGGCGAATGCTCTACCAACTGAGCTACTGCCGCCTCCCCTTATAATTTCATTGTTTGATTTTCTAACATTCTGTTGGTTGAAACAACAATTTAATCAACAGAAAGCCCTGCAGGTGACAGCACTTGTAACATTAGGCTCCACGAAAAATTAACTCAATTGGATAATAGCAAAGATTAGTGGTATATAATAAAATATGAAGTGTAATTATCTCGCTGAGGTGTGAGAAACTAAGAGAAGAACAGAAAGAAAAGTCCTATAGTGGATGCTGTATTTTAGATGCTCAGAGGCTTTGGCAAAAAAAAAAAAAAAAAAAACATGCATATTTTTATGTTGTTGATTGCACATTTTCATTTTGTATGTAGAAATATTCTCAAGTCATAGCTGCTTATTACTGAAGTGGTGGAGAATACAGAATAAAAAAAAATACTGCATGTACCTATGTTGTGCAGTGGTGGAAGAAGTACTTGATTTTGATACTTGATTAAAGTACAGATACTGGAGCAAAAAAAAAAAAAAAAACTCAAGTAAACATTAAAGTATCACATGAAAAAAAGCAACTTAAGTAAAACTATTCAAGTTTAAAATGTTCTTTTTTATGTTTTTTTTTATTTCATGCAGATTTTCAAATGTAAAGATGTTTATAAAGATTTGTGCTGAATTTTGTTTAATAAACGAATAGTTTTTTTCCTGACTGTTTTATTTGTTTATTTTAGTTTGCTGAAACTATGAACATGTTAGAAGTAAACCACTTTTTGGCAGGTCTCAGAAAATAATAATAAAAAATAAATAAAATTTTCAATCCAGTTAAATAATGTAGTGGAGTAGAAAGTACAGATACCTGGTCTAAAGTAAAATGTATCCACTTTAAAAGGGACTTAAGTTAAGTTAGTTAGTTACTTAAGTACAGTACTTTACTACTTTTACTTGTACTTCATTATGTTCCATCGATCATGTGATGTTTAAATATATTTTCAAAGTTTAGATTGCATATAAACAGATCTAGTAAGACTCATGTTTCATTAACCTGAAATCACTGTGTCTGTATGTCGTTTAAGGTTAGGGAAGTTGTTTCCTGATTCACTGACGCCTCCTTAGTTTGTTTCTCACACACTCCGCTCCAGTTTGAGCCTTTCAGACAAAAGACTGGGCACATCAGCACAACAAAAGCACCAACGCTGAGCAGCAGCCAGAGTATGTGGGCGACACAGGCCTCCCCCAGGCTGGAACTTACCCCCTCCTTCTTCTCTGTCTTGATTTTTCTCTCTCTCTGTTTGTCTTTCTCTCTACTTCCCACTCTCCTTTTCTCTCTTTTTCTCTTTCTCTCTCTCTTTCTCTCAATGCATCTCTCCTCTCATTATCTAATTTCTTCTCTTTCTATCTCTAATTCTCTCTTTCTCTCTCCACACGCACACACACACACCACCACACACACACACACACACTTCCACACTTCCACTCCTCTGCACTCTCTTCTCTCTCTCTCTGTCTCTATGTGCGTGTCTCCTTGTCTTTCTTTCTCACTCTCTCTCTCTCTCTCTCTTTCTGTGTGTGTCTCTGTGTCTCTGTCTCTCTCCCTCTGCCTTTCTCTCTCTTTCTCTCTCTCTCTCTTTCTCTGTGTGTGTGTCTCTCTCTCTCCCTCTCTCTCTTTCTCTCTGTGTTTGGAGTGTCTCTTTGTCTCTCTTTCTCTCTCTTTCTCTCTCGTTCTCTCTCGTTCTCTTTCTCTATGTCTCTCTCTCTCTTTCTTTCTGTCTGTGTGTGTGTCTCTTTTTCTCTCTTTCTCTATGTCTCTCTGCCTCTCTTTCTCTCTGTCTCTCTCTCTTTGTCTCTCTATGTCTCTCTCTCTCTCCTTCCTTCCTTCCTTCCTTCCTTTCTTCCCTCCCTCTCTGTCTTCTTCCTCTGTCTTTAATGTTGTGTGTGCTGAGGCTGTGTCCTGGACTTTCATGTTCTGGAGGTATCACTGGTGTGGGCCAACATGACACAAGGACACACAATACCCACAGTGGACTGAATATCTGATACAGATTATCTACTTCAAATTGTGACATTTAACTGGGTTTTTATCATATTTTGTTGTGATATGGTGAACTGCGTCACATATGGGTTATGTCACAGTGTGCTTGCAGCCTGGAAACATTACGCCTAATGAACCTTTAGTCCCCAGG